CGCTGAGAGATCTTCGCTTCGCGCCGCGACACGGAGAACGAGACAGCCGCGCGGAAGCCCGATCGATCGGTTCGCAAGTCCGTTGTATGACGATTTCGGGGAACCGTCCAACCGGAGCGTAGGATCCGTTTCACCGGTGATCCTTGGCGACCAAGGATCGCGCAGGGTTCCCTCGCGCCGTTCGGACGGTTCCCCGAAATCGTCATACATTACGCGGTGTCGGCATACGAACCACCCTGTAGTATACTATTATAACGTTTATTTGTTTTATTAGCTATTTTACAATTAAGTATGTCATCAAATGTTCTAATAAAACTGTATTCATTTTTTTTACAATACATTATTCTTTTGTATCCATGAATTATGCGAATTGCCGAATCCCAACCATTTTATATATACCTTGTCACCTTGCCTGCGCAACGTCATTTCTACTAAGAATATATCTGGAATGGCGACACTATGTAGTTCGTGTTCGTAGAAACCCCCGGCGATAGGTTTTCCGTGCGAATCTGCGAGTAGGTAAGTTGTAGGATTAGTTGTCTGCACTTTGACGATTTTAAACACTTCGGTTGTCCATTCGGTGTACAGCTTTTTTCAAAGATAGTTTTGAATTTGCTGATACGTACTAGATCATCCACTTTGAATTTTGCAGGCGCTGCAATTTTTACGTTACTGTAGACTGTGTTTAAGAGCTTATTAGCAATCGCAGGTGTCACATCGATAGGACGCATGCCGATAGTTCGATGTTTTCGCGCGTTGTATTCAGCGACAAGGCGGTAACGAGTCGATCCATTTATAAGTTCCGTTAAACGTAAACATTTTCCACATGTCGTTCTTTATCGTGCGGTTGAATCGTTTCACAACAGATGCCTTCATTACTGAATAAGTCGAATAATGATTGACACCGTGTTTCTTCACAAGACTGCAACTCTGTATTGTAAAACTCCTTTCCCTGATCAGTTTGCAAGTTCTTCGGACATCTTCCATCCGCTCGAATTATCTTTGCGAATGCCTTAGCTACCTCCTTTCCGCTTTTGCTCTTTAACGACACGGGCCATGCATGCTTGCTCAATTCATCGATAATGGTGAGTATGTAGCGGTGGCCTCCATCGAATCGCGAGTAAGAACACATTTTCACTACATCGGCCTGCCAAAGATCATCGTATCTACGCACTATCACGCGCCTACGAGGAAAATTTCATTTCACTGAAGCGTGTAATTTTTTCACTAGTTGTTGTTTTTCGGAATGTTCCTACTCATATTTTTCCTCGTTATTCGCCGAGTCGTTTTCCTATCATGCGTGAGGTTTCGTCGCTTTACACCGGCAGAAACAGTTGAAATAGTATCGATGAGTTGCTTCTCTGAACTTTTCTTCTTTTGTTAAATTTTGACGATTGCTTCACCATTGCAGCTCGTGATGATCCATCTCTTCCTTATGTCGATACTATATGTCAATTTAACTGTAATATTCTACTTTTATATTTTCCTTGATGGCTTTATCTCTGAACGTGTCCAGTCTAAAATCCGTTCTATGTTCTCATTTCTGATACGATCCATCATATCCTGTCACGTCGTTAGTGGTTGACGGAACACTGCGTCTTTAAAAAATCCCCACAGATAAAAACCCAGAGGAGTAAGGTCGGGTGAGCTTGATAGCCACCAAACTCGACTATCCCGACCTATCCATCGATGAGGGAAAGTGGCATCGAGGTAATTCCCGAAGGAATATAAACTATGATGTACAAATTCGACCGAGCAACCTCTCCGCGGTGTACATCGGGTAATGAGAATGCCGGTGGTATGTCAATTTTAATGCTTCATATCTTGGGAATGGCTTACGTAAAATCCAAAAGTAGGTAGTGTTTTGGAAACATCTCGATAAGAGCTAGAAGAATATGTAATAAAAATGGAGGGTTCCACTTAGGATTTTAAAGTTGACCTTTACGTGACTTTCAAACAACAATTCAAGGCCAAGCCAGGGTCATCATCAGATATACTCCTCTGAACCCTACAACTTTTGTTTGAAACATTTTTCGCGATCCGGCTTGCCTGATGAAATATTTCAAATTGTCGATTAAAATCCCAGTAAACAAATTGACCACAGACTGCGCGCAGATTGACACCAAATTTGATCAGAAACCCACATCAGAACCATAGCCATCTGTGTCCGCATTCAGCTACGGTCTTGGCGACAGGACCTGCTGTCGGGCAATTGCTGCAGATTTGCAACAAAAACCGCGCAGGGCCTGCGTGCATAACCTTGCAGCAGATAGGCGGCTGAAACCGAGCGGATCCTGCGCACAAAACTTGAGAGCAGATTGGCAGCAAAACCGGAGCAGGCTCTGCGCGGAATCAGCTGTGATTTAAATGAACGCGCGGTGCATTGGCTTTTAAATGATTTTTAACTTATATCGTTATATTAATGCAGCTTTTTACATGAATGTAACTTTTTGGTCCATATTCTGAGCTCTCTTTTATCGTTAAAAGCGTCTCTGAACATGGCTTATAAGTCTTGTGATTACAAGTCTTGTGCTACAAACCACTTTTAGAGACGTTTCTAGCAATAAAAAGAATTCAGAATATGGACCTTTGTGTTAAGAAGGGGATGTAGAAAGAAAAACTATGACAAAAAGAGAATATATTGTTGTGCCCACGCCTTTGGGGAACGTATTGTTCCCACACTCTTGGGAGAAGACTGTGAAGAAGACATATAGAGAGTGTTTGACAGCTGTTATCGTTGTCAAGGAGTTTGTTTACTAACAACTAGAAGAGAGTCGCTCTAGTCCTGTCACGGCGTACGGACGTAAAGCGAATTCGTGCGATTATTTTGAGATTGATTAAGATCCGTTTTTCTTGGCTGTAAATAAAGCTTTTCTCGTTTAGTTTATCCCGAGTTATTTCTTTCACGCGCGGGCACAACATTTGGGGGCTCGTCCGGGATCAATAACGATAGAAATCGTAGACGTGCTCGTGTGTGAAAGTGAAAGAAAAAGAAATACCTGTTCAATATTTTTAAAGAACATAATAAAAGAACATAATAAAAGAACATAATAATAATAATAATAAATAATAATAATAAATAATAATAATAATAATAATAATAATAATAATTTTTAAAGAACATAATAAAAGAACATAATAAAAGTGAGCTCTGACCGCATTGCACTGCCTTTTATAATAAGCCGTAGTTCGCCATACACCCACAGTGGCGCGTCGAGCAGTTCCCTCTTCGATTCGGGTTCCCATTTGAGATTTGAACGATACCACCCACCCTACCCCGAGAGGATGGGGGGGGGGAATAACTTTTATTATGTTCTTTAAAAATATTGAACAGGTATTTTTTATTTCTCAATCCAATGATCATTTCTGGAGAATTGCGGAAAATATATTAGGTACGCAACTAAGTTCTCGCTGTTTTTTTTTATGAAAATGCAACTTTATTGTGAAAAAATAGTTACAAATGAATCATTCAAAATATTGCCCATCGCTAGCGACAACTTTTTCCCATCTTTCTGGCAGAGCTCGAATACCGTCACGGTAGAAGTGTTCGTCTTTTGAGGCTATCCACGAATCAAGCTATTTTGAGATGTCTTCATATGAGCGGAACTGCTGATTAGCCAGACCATGTGCCATCGAACGGAACAAGTAATAATCGGACGGCGCAATATCTGGGGAATATGGCGGGTGGAGTAGGACTTCCCATTTGAGCGTTTCTAAGTAGGTTTTAACGGGTTTGGCAACGTGAGGCCGAGCGTTGTCATGCTGTAGAATCACTTTTTCGTGCCTCTGCTCGTATTGTGGCCGCTTTTCGCGCAGTGCTCGGCTCAATCGCATCAATTGAGTTCGATACCGTTCCCCAGTGATGGTATCGTTCGGTTTCAACAGCTCATAATAAATAACACCGCCCTGGTCCCACCAAATACACAGCAAAACCTTCGCAGCGTGAATATTCGGCCGAGCTGACGACGTAGAAGCATGACCGGGCAGTCCCCATGATTTTGTTCTCTTTGGGTTGCTGTAATGAATCCATTTTTCATCACCCGTAACGATACGATGAAGAAAACCCTTCCTTTTTTGTCGCTGGAGCAGTTGTTCACAGACGAAAAAACGACGCTCAACGTCTCTTGGCTTCAAATCATAAGGAACCCAAGTTCCTTGCTTTTGAATCATTCCCAACGCATGCAATCGCTTGGAAATGGCTTGGCGGGTAACTCCTAATGCTGAAGCAAGCTCTTTTTGCGTTTGGCACGGATCCTCATCGAGCAATGCCTCCAATTCAGCGTCTTCGAAGGTTTTTGGCCTTCCTTCACGCGAACGGTCGTCAACATCGAAATCACCGTCTTTGAAGCGACGGAACCAATCGCGGCACGTTGTTTCACTTAGAGCAGCATCTCCGTAAACTTTTTGGAGTTCTCGATGCGCTTCAGCCGCCGTTTTCTTCGAATGAAAGAAGAAAAGCAACACTTCCCGCAAATGACGATTATTTGGCACAAAATCAGACATTTTCACACAACCAAAAGTATATGACGCAAAAACAAAATCACTAATGTGTCAAAGCGGTTTGTTTACCATATGTCTAAGCTTGGTTCATGACGTTTTGGTTATGCCACAATCGACCAGTACTTACTACTGGAGCCATCTCTTGAAAAACAGCGGGAACTTAGTTGCGCACCTAATAATTTTTTGCGATTACAGCGCCATCTATCACGAATCAAAAAAAAAGTTTCGAAGAAAATTTACGTATTTTGTGGCGTAGAATCCGTATCTGCAATAAAAAATGGGGGTTTCCATTTAAGATTTCAAAGTTGCCCCCAACCCTCACCCCCAGGGGGTGGGGTGGGAGGTCGAGTTTGGTATCATTGGATGTCCCCCTTCGAGACTAACAACTTTCATTAACCACTTTTTTTATCCAATGCATAGTTCTCGAGATATTTCAATGTCTTCAGATAAATCGTGCACCCTGTATAAGAGAATATAGGAATTAATTGTTTCTTCGTAATATGTTCCCGATAGATGCCCAGTATTACAAAACTTACAAAAAGACATTTGCTATTACATTACAAGCTGTTTGTGATGCTCGCTTACACTTCACAGATTGCTTTGCTGGCTATCCTGGCTCAGTTGGTGATTTGAGGGTCTTGCGAAATTCTGATCTTTGGAAAGAAATCCAGGCAAATGAAAGAAATTATTTTCCTGAAGATGAATTTATCATAGGTGATAAAGCTTATCCAGTGTTGACCTGGTGCATTCCTCTGTATATAGACCATGGTCAGTTATCTAATGTAAGTCTAGAATTTAAGTTTTCTAATTTACATATTTTGTCTTCATAGACAATAACTGCTGCGATGTTAGATATTTAATTACATTTGTTTTTTTCCAGGCTCAGAAAAGATTTAATAAAGAGATCAGTTCAAAAAGATCTGTTATTGAAAGAGCATTTGCTCTATTGAAGGGCAGATTTCGAAGACTTAAATATCTTGATATGAACAAAGATGACCAGATACCTAACACAATCATTGCGTGTACAGTATTACATAATATTTGCTTGGAGGGCATCGATGACAATGTGGAAGACTTCATAGAGGAAGGAGCTGAAGAAATAGATGAAGAGCCGCCTGATGGTGGTATAGTCAATGAGGTAGCAGGAGAAGTGAAACGTGATTACCTGTGCAATCTTATATTTACTAGAGATTAAATCTATTATTTGTTTATCATTAGAAAATTTTCCTGAGTGTTCCCTGAGTGTACAAAGTTAAATTTTGTACTCACGAAATTTTATACTAATGGAATTTAATTTATGAAAAAATAAAATTAATTATAATAAATGTTAAATTTTGTTTCATTCAATTGACATAATATAAGTAATATAAATAATTATAAACATGTTAATGTTTTAAATTTGACATGTTAATGTTTTAAATTAAAATAAAACTTGCTTGTGTTAACAATGAAATAAAATATTCAGTCTTACATTTCCATGCATAAACTTATACATAAGCAACATCTCAATAAATAAACATAAGTGGAGTGATGCAAAACAAAGTAACGTTAATAATCTAGTTTTGCATATCACAGTAATGTTAAGTTACTACAATATGAGAATAAAAAAAAATGTAAAAAATGAGAATTAAATAAAAAAAATAATCATAATTTCTGTAATATCTTTTTCATATTATCGTTGTATATCTTAATTGCTTCATCTTGGCGCTGCATCTTTTTCTCATGTCGCCTTTTTTTAGCTTGCTCTCGTACAACATTTGCTTCTTGTTGTAAAAGTACCCATTTATTTAACTCGATGCTAATTTTACTTTTCTTCTTAGGTTTCTGACCAGAATTTTTCACATTCTCCTCGTCTTCAGATGAATCAGACGTACTGTGAAATGTTGAACGCTTGTGTTTCTTTAGGGTAGAAGCGATAGCCACAGGTTGAATAATAGGCATTTCACCAAAAACTTCGTCTATTTCTTCATAGAATTTACATGTTTGCAAATCTTGTCCACTCTTGTTCACATTGTTGTCCTTAGTTTTATATAATTCTTCCGAATATCTTTAAATTAATTTTCACACTTTGCAGTGTACTCCCAAAGAGGATTTTCCTTCATTAATTTGACAGCGATCATATTCCATACTTTGTCATTTGTGATAGTAGTACTCTTAAATTTCTCTTCATGCAACTTCCATTCACGAACAAGTGCCTTGACAGCATTATCATCTTTCCAAGAAGCTTGTTGTTTGATACCTACAAACAAAAGGAAATATTGTAGAAATAAGAGAAATCATAAAAGTAAATTAACAATTATGCGATACTAACTAATAGCTGCAGTATTTTTATTTTCCTCTTTGTCATATTCTTTGATGTATTGTTCCTTTTCTACATCCGACATGTGTGTTATGTTGAAATATTTACGAACATTCTCCTTATTTGGAAGATGTATTAATCATTCGGCTGAAAAAAGAAACAATGAATCTAGTACTATTTTGGCATTTGGTAAAAAGCAACTTATTTACTACAAATTAATAATGAAAAGAGCAAAGACAGAATTACTGTCTAAATTCTACGTATATACGCATATTTCTTCTAATAAATTATTATTACTTTATAAAAATATAAAGCAAGGATAAAAGGAGTGATGCCGGTTTTTGTCATAACCTCAAAAGAATTATATACATGAAATATATATTTAGATTATTTTACCTTTGCAATCAAATGCGACAAATCTATTGTTTTGTAAAATGACGTGTCCGCTTTCGTTGGTACATAATTTTAAGTTTTTCAGCTCCATCATATAATTGTTCAAATGAAATACGAATGTAATACGAAATCAAACAAACATATGACTCATTCACATATACGCACTAAGAAATACAAAGATACTTGAATTTGGCAGTTTCGCGCTTTTTCAACTTACTCACTCGACGACCCGGCTCCAATAGCTAGGTGAGTTGAGAGTCTCTCCGAGAGCTCTCGACTAGGAATCCGAACGCTATTCCTAGTAACTTTGAGGAGAGCCGGAGAGAATCTGAACGGCTTTTGGGTAGCAGGGGACACTCGAGTAGGGAATCCGAACGCACTCCAGAGTGTGTTCCGTTTCACGTATGCGTGTGATGCTATGTGATGTGTAAGACGTTACGGAAAGACGGTTTTTCATTGGCTACCATGTTGCTTTTTGCCGCGCGCCAAATGTTTCCGTGTTTTGTGGGCAGAAGCCGTCTAACGGTCATTCCGAGTTCAATTGTAATCGTAATAACTTGTACTCGACGAATTTGTGATTTCAACTCTAAGGATACCACATTGAAGCCGCATCTACAACAATAAAATTACGTAAATATGAAACTACATTTAAAATTATCCACCTCGCGCAAATTGTTGCATAAATTGTCCATGAGACAACGAAATAGGATTATAGTACGAAATAAGGCACAAATTGCGCATGCAAAATACTAACGTTACACGTACGGAACACACCCATAATTCATAGCGTGTTTGAGTGCTTGCATTTTTCATACTCAATACTTTGGTTTTACTTCGTCCAACGTTTGAATATGAATCCGTTTGTTTCTAAATAAGAAAAATGTGAAAAATATAAGCAACGCGATAAATATAATATCCGAGATGAGATCCATTAAACGCTACAAATGCTTACATATAACTTCTAGACCAATCATAGCTTTTCTTTGAGTGTTTCAAAGCGTTTGCAGCATTTAGGGGATCGCATGTCCAATATAGATTCATTACTTTAAAAATCTTTTTTTCACGCATATTCTAAAGAGAGATCTCAGATTGGTAAAGCCATGTTGTAAACGTTATTCGATATTGAGAAACGTAAATAAATAAAATAAAATAAATAATGACAAGATCTGAATATTTCTAAAAGTATCTAAATATTTCATAATAATAGAGAATTATTTCACTATTTTATTTTGTAAACATTAAGCTAATATGATTTGCCATGTCGTTAAAATTTTACTGAAATGTTTACAAAAATTAAATTATTATTTCACAAATTTGTGAAATAAATATTATCATTATTATTTCTTAAAAGTTGTGTCTTAATGTTGAGGACAACAAAACATAAATGCATATGTATGAAATATATATTAATATATATGTTATAATGCTTACAGATGGAACGGCAAAAGCGCATTGTTCCCAAGCCATTGCGCTATCAAACAACTTCTTCTGACGAGGGTTCAAAGCGGAGAAGGAACAGCTACAGGAGCAGCAGGTGCCATTGCCTGGAATAATCGACGAAGATATCAACGATATCAACAGGATGCTGCAGCAGGATAAGAATTCAACCGATTTTAATATTACAACACATATGACACACACACATACACAAAATACACAACCATATACAAACATGCAAACAAATACGAACAATTCTTCATATATAGTATATACTCCACACACACAGACACACACAAACACAATATATACTCCACACATTGAGACACACACAAATATTGCACACAGACAGACACACACATACACATCACCCATAGTGACACAAGAACATGCACAACACACTCAAAATTTCACAGTACGCACTGAGTCTGACAAAATGTACTATACTAATGATATATTGTCTCAGCTGCAGGACACCTTGCCTATGCAACAGGATGTATCTTACCAACGTGAGGAGAGCGAAGGACATGCTGTCTGTCAAGCGTAGAATATCTCGTTACAAAAGGAAAGGACAGATAATAGGTATGTTTCTAATAATAAATATATAGAATATATTCTTACAATTGGAACAGTAAGATAAAAAACAGTAAAAAAAATTAGTTGTGAATAATAAATAATCATTGCAATTTGTGTATACTTACAGGAAAATAGAAGAACGATTGAAGATTATGGAGGACCGATTGAAGATTATGGAGACAGACATGAAGTAAGTAATTCGTACATCATGATTATCGGTATGTGTGTATGTCTGTATTTGATGTTTTTATTTTCAGGAAATCGCATGGATTGTTGCAGAAAATATTGAAATGCGTCCAGGATCGCCATTCTGCGCCACAAAAGCCGGCTGTATTACCCATTTCAACACTACAACAGATGGACGAATTCGAAAATTTGACCGAAGAAAACTATTCCGATGTTGTAAGTGACATAAATACCTTTGCTGTTAGAAAAGAAATATTTATACATTATATTTATTGTAACTATTTTTTTAGGTTAATTCTTTTCATTATGTCGGTGGCTTTCACTTAAAGGAAGCCATCAACCTGCGTTTAAAAGAAGGCTTATCCGACTCGCTGACACAGTCGTTTACATGGTTCGGTCGCGAGGAAGGACGACGACCGTTGTCTCGAATACTCGACTGGTCCAAGCGATTTATGGTAAGACATTTTTATTATATTATACAGAAAAAGAAATGTTAATAGTTTATTTATAATATATCTTATGCTTCTTTTGCAGATGCCTTGTGCAAGAACCGGCACTTTGACAGACCACTTAAATCAGAATTCCAGATGCAGATGCGGGAATCTCTGCGTGTAGCAAAGGAGAGACATCGGAGCAGGATGCGTGGTCCACGCAGACGAAACACCTGCGCAGAAGCGAACCAAATTTATGGAATGACAAGGCAGACGAGGGCGACGTTGAAGCAAGCGACGACGAGTAACAACATTATTTAAATGTAAATAAAAGATGTAAAGATATATATTGATGTATTGGTACTTTTATTGTAACAGTTATGATTTTCCTTGTACATTATTTTCATACATGCTTTATTCGCAGGATCTAGGTCTGATACAAGTCCAATGGAACAACGCAGAGACAACGCGATGAAGCAACGCAGGGAGGACGTCCAGGAAGGTGCAGTGGAGGAACGCAGGGACAGAATGAGAAGAGGAAGAAGAAGGAAGCAGGAAGAGATAGGTGGAGAGAGGGGAGGAGAAGGAGGAGAAACCGGTGGTTGGTTTCTGTCTGCGTCGTCAGACGAACCGGCACTTTTCAGTGACTATTTTGATGTCTTAAACGTGGGAACCTGTCGTGTTCGAAATACATGACACGGCGCTTTTTAGCGCCGCACCGAATATAATAAAAACATCACATTTCGTTCAACATACGACGATATGCGATGAAAAAAATTTCTTTTTTTTATAATTACAATGACACAAATTGGATAATACAAGTTGATAAATTAATGTGTATGTATATTTTTCAAAGTAAAAGAAGGAGAGAGAGAGAAGGAGGATTCTATTTCTATTTCTTTTTTATTTTGACAAATATTCATACGCATTAACTTAAAAACTTCCATTCTTTGTGTAATTGTGTTATTCTAATTATACAAAAAATTGCATATCAAACGTACATCGATGTGGATGTGGATTGGTCGCCTGCATACGAAATGATCTACTGTACGTTGTGTTGGAGTTCGTGCCTAGCGATAACCTTTGAGATTTTACATGCATTCACGGATCAGTGTTCAGAGTATGATCTGAAAAAGCAGAAGACATTGAAGGACGCAGAAAGACCCGATTTCCTTTACGTACCAAGCGGCATGAGAGATGAAGTACTTTGCCGCCAAAAATTTCCTTGTCACAGATGAATACATACGTATTGAAAATTGCTAACGGATGAATGGTCCTGGTAAAGTGAATAGCGCCACAAGCTCTCGTTCACCGTGTTTACATCGCTGAGTCTGACGTGTAAGTAATTTAATCCACTTAGTTCTGTTAAAATAACTTGTATTAACGAAATTAACGTTTCGAGAATTGATGAGAATCGTTTGTGATTAATTATTTTCATTCCACTCACCAATTAGATGCGTTATAACACTATGCGAGAAAGTTCATAACGCATCTGATTGGTTTGCGGTTACGCATTACGCGGAAAATACCTTCCATGACACTCCAACCTTAGGGAAAAAAGAAACTTTAATACAATTGTTTTTTATACACATCATATGTTTATATGAAATAAAAAATAATACATATATTCTCTTTTTGTCATAGTTTTTCTTTCTACATCCCCTTCTTAACACAAAGGTCCATATTCTGAATTCTTTTTATTGCTAGAAACGTCTCTAAAAGTGGTTTGTAGCACAAGACTTGTAATCACAAGACTTATAAGCCATGTTCAGAGACGCTTTTAACGATAAAAGAGAGCTCAGAATATGGACCAAAAAGTTACATTCATGTAAAAAGCTGCATTAATATAACGATATAAGTTAAAAATCATTTAAAAGCCAATGCACCGCGCGTTCATTTAAATCACAGCTGATTCCGCGCAGAGCCTGCTCCGGTTTTGCTGCCAATCTGCTCTCAAGTTTTGTGCGCAGGATCCGCTCGGTTTCAGCCGCCTATCTGCTGCAAGGTTATGCACGCAGGCCCTGCGCGGTTTTTGCTGCAAATCTGCAGCAATTACCCGACAGCAGGCTTTGTTGTATATCTGATGGCACTTTGGCAGCATGATTTAATATAACAGATCCTACATCAAATTTATTGCCTATTTGGCATCAAAAGTTGGTAGCAGGCTCTGCTCAAGATCTGCTCGCGCAGGTTTGGCTATCTGGGATGGACTTCTCTGTATAATACATATACATAAATATAAATTTAACATATAAATGCAGGTTGCCGAACATTTTTCTTCATTAGTGATATTCTGCAACATTTTCACTTACAGAAGTTTATTATTAACTATAATAAACTAGCGAGTATTAATAATTAATTTTATTACTCATATGAATAATTTTATTGGTAATTATGCAGAATAGGTACTTTTTCGAATTTTGAAATTTTTTTGTTGCTATTGTGGTAAAAATTTTTGTTGTGACTCCAAAAGTAATAATGAATCGGGGAAGCCCGAAAAATATGCAACCTACATATTTTTTTTAACAATTTGTGGTAAACTTGTCAAAAGGCTACAGTACCTTCAATTTCGATGAAGATAGACTAATATATGTTTTAATGGTAAATATGGTTAAAGGGACCCACTTCTGATGACCTTGAATTTTACATATATTATCAAGAACATCCTCCCGAGTAACATGCAAAAAGTTTTAGTCCATGCTTACTGTTCGTTAAAAAGTTACTAACAAATGAAGTTAGTGATAAGAGTTTGCACCGAGCATGTGTACACACACATACACACACCGAAGGGGGCGTGCGGGAGGACCTTCGGCCCCCCACCCGCCCCCCCCCCCCCTCAAGGGTTAACGGGTGAAACTTGCTTCACGTGGAAAGTCGCAATAAGTCGCAAACTCACATGTGACTTTCCATATGAAGCGAGTTTCACCCGTTGACCCTCGAGGGGGTGCGGGTGGGGAGCCCCCCCATGCCCCCTTCGGTGTGTGTGTGTGTGTATGTACATATGCTTGGTAAATATGTTAGTTGCATACTTTTCGGGCTCCCCCGATTTATTATTACTTTCGGAGTCACAACAAAAATTTTTACCATAATAACAACAAAAAAATCTCAAAATTCGAAAAAGTACCTATTCTGTATAATTACCATTTTATTATTCAATAAATAATAACAAACAATAGAATTATTTATTATCACTAGTCAATTTATTACAGCCAGTAATATTAGGAGTACAAATAAGTTTCTGCCGTTTGACAAAAGATGGCCCCATTAGAAGGTTATATTGAAATTGTTAGATGTAAAATGTAATATCGTAAGTTTGGACATCTGGTAACAACATAACCTTGAAGTATTAGTGACTCCGTATCAGCATCACGTAATTTTTTTCGTTCGAAAATGTCAAGTTTTGTGCCGAATAAGCGTCATTTGCCGGAACTTTTGATTTATTTCTTTAATTTGAAGAAATCTGCAGCTGAGGCTCATCGATTGCTTGTAGAAGCATATGGTGAGATTGCTTTAAGTGAGAAAAGTTGTCGTGGGTGGTTTCAAAAGTTTAAAAACGGTGAGTTTGACGTGGAAGACAAAGAACATAATGGAAGGCCGAAAGTGTACGAAGACACGGAATTGGAAGCATTATTGGAGGAAGATTCGTGCCAAACGCAAGAAGAACTTGCACTTACATTAGAAGTGACTCAACAAGCAATTTCACATCGTTGGGAATGATTCAAAAACAAGGAAATTGGGTTCCATATGAACTGAAGCCGAGAGACGTTGAACGCCGATTTTGCACGTGTGAAATGCTGCTTGCCAGGCATAAAAGAAAGGGTTTTTTACATCGTATAATCACTGGTGATGAAAAATGGATCCACTACGATAACCCAAAGAAGAGAATATCATGGGGACCACCTGGCCATACTTCAACATCGACAGCCAAACCGAATATTCATGGAAAAAAACTCATGCTGTGTATTTGATGGGATCAGCTTGGTGTCGTGTATTATGAGTTGCTCAAACCGAGCGAAACCATTTTTGGAGCTCTCTACCGAACACATTTAATGAGATTGAGCCGAGCACTCAAGGAAAAATGCGCCCATTACTACTCCAGACACGACAAAATTATTCTCCTACATGACAACGCTCGGCCACATGTTGCAAAACCGATCAAAACCTATTTGGAAACACTTAATTGGGAAGTCCTACCCCACCCGCCGTATTCATCAGACATTGCCCCTTCGGATTATCACTTGTTCCGATCGATGACACATGGCCTGTCTAAGCAGCGCTTTACATCATATGAAGATACTAAAAATTGGGTCGATTCGTGGATAGCCTCAAAAGATAAAAAGTTCTTCCGATGTGGTATCCGAATGCTGCCAGAAAGATGAGAAAAAGTAGTGGCTAGTGATGGACAATACTTTGAATAAAACGTAATGTACCGTTCTTTCACAATAAATTCCTAATTTTTGATAGAAAACGGCGGAAACTTATTTGTACTCCTAATATAACGATATTTAGTAACATGTTTTCAAATATGTCGTATCTAACGTTGTATACAATATCATAATTAACAAACTTTGACTCCAATTTGGAGGTTTCGGTAATGTTGATTTCAAATGTAAAGTTGTTATAAATAATGTTATGCTAACGTTTTGTTAACATTTTGGTAATGTTTCTCAACACGAAAATTAAAAACTAATTATTGCTCTTTTCTAGTAGAAATGATTCTTAAAGTTGTTAAAGTCCATGCTGGTTTTACTTTACTGGTGAAACTTAGTTTATTTTATTGATATCATGTCATGTTACATTTGAAAAACTCACACTTGGTTAGTCTTGGTGTACTGGTGGGACATAAACTCGGACACTCAAAACGGCTTCGGATTATAAGTCTACCACTTTAATACTACACCAATTCTTCATTTTATATAAGCGTGTTTACTTTGGGCATAATTTGGAAGTTTCAGTAATGTTTAAATGAGACTGTTATAATGTTACAAATCTAATATCAAATTATAAGCATTTTTTGGAAGGACCCCGCAGAAAGTATATGGAAATCCGCTCTCGGTCAATTCATAGTTGCTAGATGCAATATATTGCGATGCTACGGCGCATGCGTGAGATGACGTAGAGCTCGCTGCTTGAGTAAAAATCTCAGTATGGTATCTTTTTTAAGGTATTATAGCGCCCGTATTATATTATATGCATAAGCATTGAGAATTGCAATTGAGTAAATTAGATAATCTAAATCGTGGTTACTTTAATTAATCCGATAGTAATTCTTAATTTATAGTCTAATATGAGCGTAAGATCCCTTATCTGAAATAAAAAATGTAAGAATTATAGGGAGAAAATAAAGGTTTTGTAAAAAGACAAAATAATGTTTATAATTAATAATAAGCATATTATTTTATTTTTTAATAACTGCAGGCAATTACATGAATATCAACATTCGTTGTAAAAGCAAGGGAAACTGCAAAAAAAACCTTACTAGTATTCTTACAATAAATATGAAATACAAAATATTCTTATACAAAATACATATTAATGCCATTAATA